TAGTTGATGAACCAAAATGATAGTAGAGCAATAGTTGGGACCATTTAAGTCATTAACCCCCCTATGATACATGTGTCTACCCTTCTTGTTCTTGATTCAAATAAAAGTACCTCAAGCCCAAAAAAAAAATGAAAAGAAAAGAAAAAAAATAAATATATATTATAATACGCACCTATATAACCGAGTCTCGTCTACCTTCCCTTCTCGCTCTTCTCGTCCTCTCTCTCCTTCAAAATCCCCAAATCCCCAAATCCAGTTTCTGAATTCCATTTTCGAACCCCATCAATGGCGACCCCATCCCCACGCGAAGAGAACGTGTACGTGGCGAAGCTGGCCGAGCAAGCCGAGCGCTACGAGGAGATGGTGGAGTTCATGGAGAAGGTCGTCTCCTCCGTCCCCGAAGGCGAAGAACCCACAGTCGAAGAGCGCAACCTCCTCTCCGTCGCCTATAAGAACGTAATCGGCGCTCGCCGTGCCTCGTGGCGCATCGTGTCGTCGATCGAGCAGAAGGAGGAGAGCCGCGGCAACAGCGATCACGTGGCCACCATCAAGGAATACAGGACTCGGATCGAGAACGAGCTCTCTAACATCTGCGGTGGGATTCTCAAGCTTCTTGACTCCAAGCTCGTGCCTTCGGCCAACGTCGGCGATTCCAAAGTGTTTTATCTGAAGATGAAGGGAGATTACCATAGGTATTTGGCTGAATTCAAGACTGGAAATGAGCGTAAGGAGGCTGCTGAGAATACCCTCAATGCCTATAAGGCTGCTCAGGTTTGGCTTGATTTTGATTTCATTTGGTTGCTCTTTGTGGTTATTTATAATATAGATTGTAGATTTTTCTTTTCTTCAAATTTGAATACTTTTGTAAATATGGTTGTAGATTATGCATCCCTTTGTTTGGTTGTTTCTGATGAATGTATTAGATCGAATTTTCATTTGTTTGGGTGGGAATAGTTGAATATTGGGTACCAAGGCTTGATTTGGTTGAGGATATGTTCACTGCTTGCTTATCAGCGCTGGTTTTCAGAGATCATTTCTGCAATCTTTTGGTGTGCATGATTTTGGAATTGATTATTTGTTTGGTAAATGATTCTATTGGTAATGGTTTTTCTTTGTGACCATGGGAATGGGGAAATCAAGTGATATTTCTTTGTCATGTGCTTAATTCCAAATGGTATTAGTTAAGGTCAACC